AAATTCCAGACACAACTCTGAATCCCCTTTTATTATTTGGAGGTTGATTCATTTATTGTTTCATAAAATCATTCTTTCACAATGAACATTAAATTGCTTAGTGCATTTCATCATTCGTAAGCATCACAAGAAAACAGACTCAACTTTATATCCAATCACACCCACTCTAGTAGTTGTACTGCCCTACTTATAGCACTTGAGATATAGCATAGCATAGTAATTAAAAGTACAGATTCTGAAACCAAATCACTTGGAACTGAATTCCAGTTTGTACTTAACAACTGTGTAACTTTGAAGAAATTATTTAACCTATCTCTGCTTCAATTTTCTCATTAAAAAAATTGTTTATTCAAGTAAGACGAATATGTAAACACCAAGAACAGAGGTGAGTACATAAATATGTCTTTTCTATTGTATTGTCTCTCTTATAAAATTTTTCTTTATAAGTTGTGCTATGCTTATTGTTCTAAAAGCAGTACCATACTCTTTTAGAAAAGAAGTAGGGAAAGCAATGAGTAATCTTTGGTGAGGGAAGTATGTGTGGAGAGAAGACAGATGCCTCAAGACGGATAAAAGAATATACAGGAAAGTGCACTAAATGCCTTCAGAGAATAAAGAGAACAAGTTTTTAAGAGAAGAAGGAGCTTCAGACATTTAATATGGAAGATGGAATGATCCTTTGGTCCCAAACATAAATAAAAATAAGCAACTATTTTATGACACAAACAGCAGAGAAACTAAAGATTTCTTATAATTATACATATAATTATAAATATAACCTATTTAAATATTGTTATTTATAATGTATTTATAGATTTGCAGCTGTATAATTATAAGAAAACTTTAGTTTTCCTATAATTATAAGAAATATATTTTTACCATAAAGTTAGTGCTTATAACAAGACTGTTTAGATATTAGGTATCCCACAAAACTCATGTGTGAAACAATGTAAGAAAGCTTAGAAGTGAAATGATTGGGTTATGAGAATCTTAACGTAATCAGTGAATTAATCTCCTGAAAGAAATTAACTGTGTAATAACTGAAGGCAGGTAGGATGTGACTAGAGGAGGTGGTTCCCTGGGGCATGCTTTTTGGGTATATATTTTGTATGGATCTCTCTCTCTCTCTCTCTCTCTCTCTCTCTCTCTCTCTCTCTCTCTCTCTCTCTCTCTCCTTCTTGATATTATGCCTTGAGCTGCTTTTTCCACCACATTCTTTCACCACAATATTCTGCCTCACCTAGAGTCCCTAAGAATGGAATTGGCTATCTAGGAAAAATACTTCTGAATCTGTGAGCCCCCAAATAAACTTATCTTCCTCTAATTATTCTTTTTAAGACCTTTTGGACATAGAAGAAAAAAAAACTGACTGAAACAAAGACATTATTGTCTCATAATGTCTATGGACCAGAAGTCCTGATCAATTTAGCTTGGTCTTCTGCTTCAGGGTCTCACAGGGCTTTAATACATGTGTCTCCCAGGGCATTAATCTCATCTAAGGTTCAAATGAGGAATGATCTGCTTTCCAGTTCATGGTTGTTGGAAACAGTCAGTTTTTTGTGCTTCCTTGATGAGGGTCTTTATTTCTGGCTGGTTGGCTGTTGTCCCTACACTTGCCACTTAATCTTGTCCATATGGAAGCTTACAATATGGCGTCTTTCTTCTTCAAAGTCAGGAAGTGAGATAATTCAGAACCCTAGCAATATGAATGACATAATCATATGTAAGGAAATCATTCACACATAATCACATGTGTCTTCATTCCTTTGCTGAATCTTATTGGAAAGAATTTACAGGTCCTGACCATTTTCAAGGGGAGGAGTTTATGCAAGGACTTGAATACTTTGGATTATGGGACCAAAATAGAGCCTATCTAACTCATAAAAACATCTTTTTCCCCCAATATTTGTAATCACATAAGAATTGCATTTTCCTTTGTCTTTGGCTATTAGGAAATGAAAGTCAAAAAATTGACTCAGCTTTAATAATAATATAAAGCAAAATAGTCTATATATTTGCAATGAAAATGTTTCCCTAGTCAATTTTCCCTCTAGATAGGCATTTACTATACCATTGCCATTAATTTACATAGTTTTTATCCATTTATATTGAGTATATTTTTTGTGTTTATAAATTTTTCTGAATTTTCAATAAATGCTCTGTAGCTAGAGTCACAAAATCAATCATTATATCACAAGGACATTGTTAAAGAGTAGCTCAGCTTTGGAAAGTCTGAATTTACAATGCACCTTTACCTTCTCTATTCTTCTCCATTGACACTGCAGACATCCCCAGAGGTAAAAACAGGTTCCCACCCCTCGCCTTGATGCTACTACTGATCTCCCTAATTACAGTAAAAGTCATTTAACTCAGTTACTATATTAAGTCAGTACAACTTTCATTTAATCAGAAATGCCCCTTTCTATAAAAGTTCTCTTCTAATATCTAAGCTAAAAGAAATTAATGTGAAAAATATGATCCCATCAGGAATTGGAATTATTAAGAAAAGAGCTTCAGCTTGAATATGTATTCTGTAAATAAGTACATGTTTTAAAGCAGTAGGGAAACTATGACAATGTTTAAGAATAGCATTACTTCGAACTAAGTTTCATGATCTGTGAAACATTCCAGAAGATTTTCCTCAATTTTTATCAATATTAGTATATGACTTTAAAAAGCATTTTGTGTTAACTTCTTGAAGCATATTTTTATCTCATGTTATTTGTGTTTTTATTCAAATCATAGGACTAAAACACAAGAATAATTAATATCTTTGAAATGTCCTCTAATTTTATTTTTAAATACTTTTAGTCATAGATGGACACAATACCTTTGTTTTATTTATTTATTTTATGTGATGCTGAAGATCAAACCCAGTGCCTCACACATGCGGGGCAAGCGCTCTACCACTGAGACACATCCCCAGCCCCTCCCCTGTAATTTTTATGTCGGCTGCTTTCAGGAGTTTGTTTTCTGGTGAATAATAATTTTATACAAAGAGAAAATGAGAAAAAAAAATTAAAGGTATGTTTTCATCTTGCATTTTTCTCACCATTGTAAAAAAAAATGTGTTACCGCTTTTCTGGTATTAACTTTACTTACTCAGAATTAAATGATATGCTTTAACATTTTCAATGTTAGTGATAGCTATGTGTGATTATGGTGATTAGGATTAAATCATTTGGTTATATGGGTTGTTTGACCTCATTTACATAGAAGCAAATTTAAAAGGATTTAAACTATCTCCTTTTTTGGAGAATGACAATTTCTTTTTTTTTTTTTTTTTTTTTTTTTTTTTTTAAAGTACTATGTAATTTTATTTTTTCTTGAAAAATATCAGGAGATGAAATAAAATAACATTGCAGAACAACACAATTAAATCCAATATAATATAACATTTGTATCTAATTTCAGTGATGGAAAGTTTTTCCTTCATATAATCCTCTCCCCTCCAAAAAGTGCAAGCTATACACCTTCAGTTACAAGCCTCTTGGATTTATGGATGGTAAATTGTATGCATTGAGGTGGATCTGAAGGACTATGTGGAAAAACCTAACAGAGTCTAATTAGTCCACTCAATTGATGAGCCATGCATTACTGTTGGCAGTGGGTCCTCCCAGAAGGTAATGTATGAAATAATACAGCATGAATTCTGTTAGGAATTATAATCAGCACAAACCAGACCAATATCTTGCTTTTTTTTGTCTTTGCTATCTTTTAAAAATCTGGTACCCTAAATCAGGAAGATGAAAAATTTGTTCTTTTGTCATTTTGTCTTCTAGTTCCACATGTGATTTTACATTTCTTGAGATTTGTAGTAGAGGCTTCTTGTAGTCTTGATTTTTATTTTATAATTGCTTACAGCCACCTAGAATAAAGAGGGTGGGGTAGAAGGGCAGGGACCCTTGTAATGTCAGACAATGGAGGCGACCAAAGGAGGCAGATTTAAAAAGGCCACTGAAGGAGATTTTGAGGCTCAATCCCTGGAGGAACTCCATCAGACCCGCAGAGTGGACAGGAGGATCGTTGGAGGAGAAACCACATGGGAGCTTGACCAGACTGGAATTTTGGGAGGCTCTATGGAATGTGAGCTCTGGAGGTGGTGATAATTTGAGTTGTAAGCAAAGATGTGCATTGGCTTGCTCAGTTTCAGAAGTCTCTCTCCAAATCCCTGGGGTCCAAGAACATCATGGGGAAGGGGTGTAGAAAAGGAAACAGCTCAAGACATGGCAATCAGGAGGCAGAGCGACAATTTCTTCATAGTCAACAACCAGTTCCTATGGCTACATCTTCTCAGTGTGATGTAACACCTAGATTTTTAATAGGATAGGACTGGTTCCACACGCAGATGTATTCCTGAAATGTTCTTTAAAGTGTCCCTGTGATTTTAAGAAGGAACAGTAATATGCATGCTAAATCTAGATGTCTTTTAAACAGGAAAAAGGACACTGCAATACTGCTGCAGAGGCCAAGAGAGGGTGTGGGGAAAGGATGGTTGGTCTACACTAAACCCAAATATGCCTGCTTTGGAAAATTAATCTCATTGCCTGCACTTCACATGGGACTGTTTGTCAGAAGATTGCTTTCTATTCATTATTACTCTCATATTCAGCAAGAAGGGACTTGGCCAAACCAGTAATATAAATGCATTGTATGCTCTACCCTCCCTCTTTATGATTAATTCTACCAGTGGTGCAAATTTGCATGAATGAATGTCAGTGTGTTTTCTGCCCTGAACATTTCCTGCTGGCTTCAGTTCAGCCCTGCTGACATTTATTACAAATAATAGCTAAATATTCCTGATTTAATAGCTGCAGTGGCCCCACATCTGAAGGTGATGTCTGTAATAAAAGCAGACAAGACGAGCTTATAACAAATACTAATCAGATTGTGTTTGCACATATAATGGATAAGCCTCATGGATATACCCACAAAATGTAATGTTTTTTTCAAATGCAGCTGCTAGAAGTCACAGTTCAAGAACATATTGGTTGCTTTATTTCTTTTTCATTTCTCTTCTTCCTCCATCTCCTTTAAGTACCTAAGGACTCTGTGCACAATCAAGATAGAATATTATCCTCTTTTTTATCTAGAAAAAAACAGGACAGTAAACACAGAAGACTGGCTGTGTCCTTTTATTCGTCTTTTGTTGTTCCTTCTAAACAAAGGGCATTGTCCCCTGATAAATTCCATTTTCTACCTCTTATTCAAAAGGTAGTTTACACACCAGCTCCAGTGATTCCCACACAATGCAGTGACTGGCAAAGATACAAATAACTTTCAAAGTTCTTTCAACCTGTTGACCCAGTTGTCCCTTCTGAAAGATATAAACTAGCCTTCCACACCTCTTACAATTGATAAAGGAGACTATAAAACCTAGAGATCACAAAAAGAAGACACACTGCCTACTAAAGGCAGGTTTTAAAAGCTTTGGGGAATAAAAGGTGCTTTTCTCTTTATCCTACCCAAACTTCACAAGCTTTCACATGAAAATAGAAGAAGGTCAAATTAGCATTGTCTTTACTTTGACATTTAAACACAAGAATTTTATTCACTTGGCCTTAATTGTGAATAACTTTATGAAAATACAACTTTTTTTTCATTTTCCCATTTTTCAGTTTTCTTTTCAGAGAAAACTGTGCAGAAATATATAATTAGAGATGATTACAGCTACCAGAATTTTTATAAATATTTCATTAAGATATAGTATTTGATTGGCATACATTCCCTGTGTTGCATAAACCACTTGACTCTGGAAACAAGTCTTAATCGCAAATTATTTTAAGATCTTCCAAAGTATGAACTCCAAAATATATTTCCTTTGAAGTTTGAGAATAATAAACTCAGGCAAAGGTTAGGGGCTGGATATTTTTCTGGATGCCCAACATCATGTCCTATTCTTACTGACTCACCCAAGAATACCCCATATCATAGCTTCTAACCCTAACCCTCCTCTGATCCTCCCAATGTTAGGGGACTTGCAGATGAAGATGGTGGGAACACAAGGTTAAAAGAATAATTCTGTGAAATGGTACCACTGTGCAGCACCCCCCACCCCCGCCACACACACATACATGCTGTCTTTGTCAAAAAGCAATTTACCTACAGTCCTGCCTGGCCTAAGTGGATAGAATATGTCACTTTCCTCAGCAAACTACCTGTTATCTAGAAGGAAATGCAGTCAGGAAACAATGTTGATAAGAGGAATGCAAACTGCTTTGAAGGGAAAAATTTTGTGACTCTTTTTACAGACCAGATTCTGGAAGATGGGGATAATTACTCTTAATCATAAAATCTGTAAGAATTTATGGTTAAGAAACCAATTAGAGGGGCTGTCGCTGGAGTTCAGTGGCAGAGTGCTCGCCTAGCACATGTGAGGCTCTGGGTTCCAGCCTTGGCACTGCATAAAAATAAACAAATACAATAAAGGCATGCTGTCCATCTACAACTACAAAAAAATAAAAGAAAAAAGAATCCAATTAGAACTGTTCAGCATGGGCCAAGGGGACCTAGAATTGTCATGGCAATAGGTACTTGAATGTCTGAGGATACGCTGCTGTCAGTAAAAAGTCAAGAAGTAGACCTGGGCAGGATCTTCAAGAAATTTCTCTAGGATTCCCTAATAAAAATGGAGTGCAGGAGAGGCATACTGTCCCTCTTCTCTATGACAGTACACACTCTCTCTCTTGAGAGTGTCCTTGTTCCCTTTTCCTATCCCTTCAATAAAACTTGGGCCTGTTACTCTGAGTGACATGTTGGAAACCTTTCTGACTTAATTGTAAGAATAAGGGTTTGAAGGGGGTCTTCTTGTTGCCTCAGTTTCCTGGAAGGCCCCAACTCTGTAACATCAGCAATCCTGAATATGAGTTCTCAACACATTGGTGCTTCTTCTCAAACTCTGACTTTGAGCTGCTTCCACCACTACCTGAGTAGTTGGACATTACTGCATGAGTGAACCACAAGGGAATCAAAATAACAGATATAGATTCAAGAAAATTTCTATTACCTTGATAATAGGAAATTCAAATTGCTCATCTCCTCACCTTGTGTGGCACAGTCTCAGAATCAGAATTGGTTTGTTTATTGTGATCTTCAAAAGAAGTAGAAAATCAAGCAAAATGTACCTATATTAATCAGAAATTTCCTCGTGAATTTTAGATCTAGAGAATGTTAGAGCTAGAAAGGGAATTTAGAAATTATGCTGATTTTATGGATGAGGACAGTGAAGCTCAGGAAGGCAAAGTAACTTGCCAAAAGTCACATCATGAATTAGGTCAGAATTTGAATTATAATTCTTGTTTTAAGTCCCAGAAAATTTCTACCTCCCTTACACTATTTTATATTCAGCCCTATCTTACTTGTTCTCTTCTGGTTCACAAGAACCAGTTATTTGTTTAATTTGTCCCAAGCTGCAAAGTTTAGTCAATAGGTGTGCTGGATTATGAGTCCATAGATCATTCAGTCAATCATATTGTCTATGTATTGTTTTGTCTAGGAGCTGTATGGCTCACAGATAAACTAAATGATGCCATTGGTTTCTAATAGAACTTTTTCTCCTCGGGATGAGAAACCTTGCTCAGAATGACAGAGAACAATTTCATATATGTTTCTTCATTGCTAATGGTTGCCTTTTCGTGGCCAGCCATTAGTAATCAGACATTTAGGTTGCTGGATTTTGTGTCCTTGCACTTTTTTTCTATCATTTTTATCACTAAAAGCTATGCTTCTTCCAGAGATCCACTTCATACACTTAGCACATTGTGTTAAGATTTCTCTGTCTCCCACCATTTGCCTTTGCATATATTCAGTTTTGTTAAGTGTCCATTATAGTTCTGGGTATGTCTTACATAAATCTCTTTTAGCGTCTATATTCCTTCTATGCCTTGGGCTGGGAATATCATTTCCCTACCCCATTTTCTGTTCTGCTCAGATACTGCCTATTCTTTGAGACTTTTTTTCTAAATATAAGCCAGATATGATTTCTTCCTACTCTGAGCACCTAATGCCCTTCTTGTCACTTCTATTTTAATAGTACTTATATATCGGCCTACCCACACTGCAGTTTTGAGCGCTAAGTGCACTAGGCCATGTGTTTGATAATCCATCCTTATGCTGCACATCACATAGCACAAGGGCCTTACTACTCAGTGGGAAATATAATCTTACATATATTAAATTAATATTTATCTAGAAACCATATATGTTAATCCTTATATTTCCTGTATCATAAAAGAAATACATCTTTGTAATGTTATATTAAAACTAAAAAGAAACATGTTACTTTAAGGTCATGAGACCTATATGTAAACTGAAGAGAAAGTACAACAAATTTTATACTGCAGTATGCTCTATCTAGCAGAAGCTGTGTGCCTAACACTAGAAGGTTTTATTTGTTTGTTTAGTTTTGTAGGTTTTGTTAGAGCTTTATGGTTATATATAGTAGTTGGATTCATCCCGACAAACTCATACGTGCATGGAAATTGATTTCAGTTCATATCTCCTCCTTCCCCTCTCGTGCTACCTCCCCACTCCCCTTCTCCTTCTTCCATTCTACTAAACTTCCTTTCACTCATTAATTTATATTTGCTTGGTCCCGTATGTAATCTTACACTTCCCTCCTGCTTTCTTTTATTTTACTCTTTCGCATATGAGAAAACATTCTACCTTTGAGTTTCTGAGTTTGACTAATTTCACTTAGCATTTCCACCCATTTACCAGCAAATGCCATAATTTCATTCTTTTAAATGGCTGAGTAGAACTCCATTGTGTGTGTGTGTGTGTGTGTATAAAACAATTTTTTAATCCATTCATCTGTTGTTAGAGTCTGTAAACAAGTCAAAATAACACCTGGCATTTTGCCAGGGGAATGTTAGAGTTCCTAAACAAGTCTGGATGGTGCCTGGCAAAATGCCAGAGGGAGTGGTTTGAGAAGTAACAAAAGCGAGCCATTAAGTGTGGAGATTCCTTATTGGTTGTCTGATGTATCTAGTTTATGCTAATTAGATAAGCTGTGTGGAATGTATAAATACTGCTCCTGTCCTGTAATAAACGGCTCCCACTCCTGCTGTATCAACGTACACAAGTTGCTTGTCACCCCCTGGTTATTTTGCTGCAGCCGGACTGCGGCAATCTGTTGACAGGCATCTGGGTTGATTCTATAATTTAGCTATTGTGAAGTGTGCTGCTATAAACATTAAATTGACTGTTTCACTGTAGTATGCTGATTTTAGGTCTTTGGGGAAAATACCGAAAGAGTGGGAGAGCTGGGTCATGTGGTGGTTCCATCCCTAGTTTTTTTGATAAATTTCCATAATGTTTTCCAGAGTGGTTGTACTAGCTAAGATTAGAAGTTTAAGTGGAGGAAGGCAGGAAATCTAAGGACTGACCAGCAAAGGAGAACATGCAGTTTTGGTTGATTTTAACACTAAGCATTGGTGTGAGAGACAGTCACCCAGAGGTGCTTTATTGTTGCTTTTCTTTCTTTCTCTTCTTCTTTCTTCTTTCTTTTTCTTCAGTACTAGAGATAGATCCCAGAGGTGCTCTACCATTGAGTTATATCTGCAGCCTTTATTATTATTATTATCGTTATTTTGACACAAGTTCTCAACAAGTTGCCAATCCTAGCCCCTAAGTAGCTGGGATTACAAGTATGCACTGCCATGCCTGGCACTTTTTTTTTTTTTTAATGACCACATTGTGGTTGGTTAGGAGACCTATGTATTATCCATTGCACCACAGAGCCAGTTTAAAGGTGCCTTCTGACCAGAAGTGCTCTTAGTTTAAAATTGACCCCAAAGAGAGTCAACCCTTCAACTGTCCCTGGAAACGTCAATAGGCTGGATGTTCCAAAGAAGCTGAGTTTGGGTTAAGAAAAAAACAAAAACAAAAAACTGCACCCTGGAAGCAAAGATCAAACTTTGACAGGTAAGAGGAAAGAACATTGCCAGTAGATCAAAGGAAAGGTTGTGCAACCAGGACTCAAAAGCCAGTGGTGTTGAGCATGGAGTCTGCATGCCCCTCAGTGTTTCCTTTAGTTGGTGCATTATAGAAAGTCAGATGCTCTAGCACATACATTGACTGTTACAACTTCTGTAGATTCAGTTATTGCCCTCACATTTAGCCACAAAATTACTGATTTGGGCCTTAAGAAGGAAGTATAGCTGACTTTTTCAGAGGCAACTTAACTTTCTGTGGGGCAATCACCCAAAACCATGCTTTTCAAACTTTAATGTGCTTATAAATCACCCATAGAACTTGTTAAACTACAGATTTTGATTCACCTGGTATGGGTTTGGAATTCTGCATTTCTAACAAGTAGCCATGCTGGTTTCTATACCAAGCATTCAGTTGGAAAGACTTAAACAACACATAAACTATAGCCTAACATACAGAACAGGCATATTTAAAAAAAATTACGGTCTAATGTTTAAATTAAGTAATGTACATGCATAACTTATACCATATAATTTAAATGTTATACTATCTATAACAACATGTTATATTATTTCAGGCCCCATATGTTATTATATTCCCTTGCCAATATATAACGAAACATTTTTAATCACTTGTTTTCATATTTATCTCTTGCCTCTGTCTGCTTATATTCCTTTAATAGGTTCCAAATGAGAAATGTTCACTTCACAGATTTTAATTACCTGAAATCCTTTTTTCCTTATTGATTACCAAGAGCAAAGTAGCTTTTTGTGTTAACCTTTCAAAATGTCCAATTTAATTTATGAATACAATATTTTTCAGCTCAGTGTGTAGAGATGATGCATACTGCTTCATACTGCCTTTATGAAAAGATCATTTTAATTACCCCACAGAAATATTTGGGATGGAGAATTGTGAAAGTTCATGAACAGAACTGCCCAATAATTTGTTGGAAGAGTACATACATGGCATCTGCAAAGCAATTGTATCTGTGGTAGATAAGGCATTCCCTTAACTTCTGAGGAAATTTGTTTTGACATCACATTAGGATTAAATCAGTTATGCAATATTCAACAATGGCATAATTCCATTTGTATTTCTAAAAACAAAAGGCTGATTTTCTGGATTCCTAGGAATGACTAAACACTGGTGTTAGGCCTAGAGACATCTCAGCAGGAATAAGGGGCTTCTATTAGTGAGGTCATCCAGAGGCATTTGAATGCACAGCTTCCATTATTCCAAATGTGGCCTCTATTCTAGGAAGCTTCAAGGTCACACCAACACTGCTTGATTGCAGTCACTTCTCTGATGCCTTCAGCAAGTGTTTGCTCCTTTTTACATTTTCTGGTCTTTGAAATTCACACAGCAACTTTATTCCCCCAACCCAATCAGAAGGCTTTCAAGCAAGTCATTCTGCAAAACACAAAATCAGGGGGAAAAGAAGCTAAATCAAACTCAAATAAAAAGCAGCGATAGAAGGCTTCAACAAAGTCCACACAGGGAATCAAGCTTGCTTTTAAACAAAAATATTGACATAGCAATTTAAAATAAATACCAGCTTCATATGCTGAACACTTTATTATTGGCTCACAGGACTGCAAATGTAAGGAACACATTCTTCTCTGAAACATTGCCAAAGGCAAACCTCTTAAAAGCCAAACATTGTGACATGTTCTTAAGTAGCTTGCCATTATGTGGATTGTTGCATTTGGTATAACATAACGCCCGCATGTTCATTAAGCCTACATTTTGCAATTAAGGTACATATGTTTTTCTTCTCCAAATGTCTGAAAGCCAGGTGGAATGAGTCAATCGCTCTGGTGACATTGAGCATTTCTATAACAATGCTGAATTCTAGAGCAGCATTTTGCATAGTCTGCCTATTATATAGGAAAACAGAATTGCCAATATGTCCTTTTGTGTAAAGTTGTAAAAGCTCTGAAGATCTTAGCAAATACTGGCTATGTATTTACTAAGGTACATGCAGCAAATGTCTACAATTATCCTGTTAAAAAGTTTCATTATAAGAGACCCTTCAAATAAAACACTGCTGCCCGTAATTGTACATTAATTGGCTTCATTCAACTCTGAAGGTCTAGAAGAGCACTGACCTATGATTTATTATCACTAAAGCACATTTTATGCTAAAAATATTGAGGAGGACTTTGTTTTTTCATTGCTTTTTAATTTTTGGCAAAGTGTCTATAGAAGTAAGACAAGCAGATTTTATGTTGATAATCAATATTTTTTTTAAATATTTAGAAAGCAAAATATAAATGAATTTCATTACAACCTGGGACAATACCTAACCATAAGAGGCAGAAACAGAGTAAAGAGGCTGACCTAAGAGTTATAATGGTTAAGTTTCAGTTCATTGGAAACTTGAAATCATGAGCACTTGGGCAACTGAAATGTTAGATGTCAAGTAGCTAAACAAAATACGGCTTTTAAAATAAATCCCAGCAAGGCTAGAGTTCTGTGACCTCACACAATCTACCTCTCTGGGTAGAGCACAGTATAACTCTCATCACAATGTCAGAAAGAGCTAATTAGCTGAAAGCTATATCTCAGGTGAAAGGGCAATGGGGAGCAAAACAAAGATTGCTTCTAAATCGCTCTCCCCGTGTCTACTGGACAGGGGTTTGGGAAGATTGCTTAAAGTGCAAAAGCTCTTTCTGATATTTCTGACAGTTAAAGTACCCTAAATTGGAATGTACTCCTGTGTAACAGAATAAGGAAGAAAACAATTGCCGTGAAGTGTGATGGTTAGGAGAGTGGTTACTTTATGCTGTGAATACCCAAGCAATTTGGTGAAGTTGTCTTAAATTCTGAAAACATTAGATAAATATGTGTGAGGTCGTCAATGTTTTACCAGTCACTAGGCACTGAACCTATCCTCTCATACTTTACCACCCAGCTTAGCCACACCTTTCACCATTTTTTCTTTTGTTTTAGGAAAAGGCTTAGAGGAACACGGGACATTTATGATTTACTCTAGATAGTAGAAAGTTAGTAAAAGTGATGGGGGAGACTTGAAAATCTGAGGCACTTCTGATTTACCCCTCAGGACAGTGGAGTCAAGAGTACGCTGGGCTAGAGTGATGATCTTTCAGTTACTAACTACTGGGCATCTGGATAATCCTCTTAATCTTTCCTTGATTAGTAATATGTAAAATGAAGAGGTTTGTCTGCCTCTGGTTTTGAATTCCTCATGATGACTACAAAATCCCACATTCACTTTAGGGAGGTGCATTTTTAAACCAGTGTTTTCTTCTTTCGTCTGTGGTAGTTCATCACTGAAAAAGGAAACCTAGGGTTTAATTACCTAAATCTCTCTAAGACACCCTTTATTCAGAAAGTTTCATCTATAAATATTAGAGTAATGAAAAACTTAGGAATTCCTATGCATTTATAAAATGCAAAGAAAAAGAATGGTCCTGGGACACTAGGATATTTTGTAACTGTCAAAAACTGTCATGGGAATCCACATAACATTAGGTGTTCACAAATGGTCAAAGATGGACAAAGTTTGGGAAGACTATGAAAGAACTGAGAAGAATATCCAAATAATTCAATCAGGACTCAAAATAATTTGTATGAAAACCACATCATTGAGGTACTAGTTTATGGTAAGACCCTTTTCCTGTATCTCAAGTAAAAACCTATTGGGTACAAAGCATTGTTCAAGATGCTGATGATAAGTGGAAAGAAAACTGAACAAAATGTGGACCCTACCAGGAAGAGATGACTCTTTTGTAAAAAGAAAAGGGAAAAAACAAAAAGGCAAACAAACTAAACTTAAGCCCAGGAGCTTTTTACACACCATAGTCACCTTGAAATTACTAGAGATTACAGAGATGTGTGTGAAATAAACTCAGTTAATCAAATCAGCTTACTAAAAAAACTAACTCAGATAGTCTAAGTGGAAAAACTTTCAACCAATTCCAGACTAAAATCAGACAATTTGGTCAGGGCATGGAAGCAAATCAATATTCGGTTAATTTAACAAACATTTCACTTTGAATCAGGTGTTTGGCTGACATTCTAAAATAGTAAGAGCAAGACCAGACAGCAGGGAAAACAAAGCAAATGAATGACTAAAATGAATACAGAAATCACGTAAACTATAAAATAAAAAAAAAAGAGAGAGAGAGAGAGAGGAAAGGAAAAAGAGAGGATTTAGTTGATTTTTAAATGTCCTTTCCCAGTTTAAAAAAAAAAAAATCCCTTGATTACATATCCAAGATCAGAAATTAGAGAAAATGAGTTCAGACCATTACATACCACAAATAACTCCAGGATTTTACATGGAATAATGTATTTCAAAGCACATTCATTCAAGTCCTATTTAAATTATTTCCATTCAAAAAATGAAAGTAAGTACCAAATTCAGCCAGGTTTGATGATAAAATGCAGTACAAACTTTTATCATTACATTAAAAACACAGGCTTACTTCCATAAATAAACTGATGTTTCTCTCTTGGGACTACTTAGGTTACTGAACTAAAAAATACTTAAAATATAATGCCATTTTTCAGCAAGTTATATAATTGCACCATATTTTTGTAATTTCTTTGAAAAAAAAATGAAGTTATACCAAATCCATGTAAGTCACCCAAAATTTCCTTATTTTACATGGTATGTTGGGATTGAGGGCAGAAAGGATTTGCGTCAAGAAACACAAACTGAAGCAGATCACATTTGCATCTTATAATTAAGGTCCATGATTAAAGTTGAATATCTCTAAATATCTCTACATACATCCCCTGATGTCACACTCGGATATTCTTTTAATTTAGACACACTGTTCTGCTGTGTAACCAAGAAGTGAAATGAAGATCAGCCATTTTTGCTCCTCAATTCTAGATGTTTCTACCATAATTTGGAAAGATTGCAGTCAAAATGCTTCACTTCCTGGATGTTAAAATCATGTTTCCTATGGGCATATTATGAGGCAAAATCAATAAGCAAAACTGTACACTTATTTTGAATTAAACTAAAACCGGATTTATGTGAATTTTACTCATTGATGCTAACTTGAATTTTTTTGGTGGCAAAAATATCACGACTGTTTCTATATGCTGCTTGTATACTCCTTTCCATGTTTCACTTAGCACACAATATAAAAATATTATGAGTAGGATATAAATCCCAGTACCTTTAGAAGAAATAGTTACCAAACATTCAGTCTCTAAAAAATAAACTAAAAGGAATGTTTTGATAGCTTACATATAAATTTTATCACTATGTTTATTGCAAAGATTATACTTAACATACTAGGCATTCTCAGTCATGGAATTTTAGAAGTGAAAAATAGCATAAAGTCTGGATAGTCCAGAATAGCATGAACACAATACAGCCTCGCTGCCATTTATCTTTCCTAAACTCTAGGCAGACAGCACTAATCAATTTCAGCTCTCTTTTCTAACTGAGCCTCGGTGTGGCCTCAAATGCTTATCCATATAGCATTCCAGGTTGCTCTTACAAATGCATCACAGTTGACAAGAAGAAGAAATAAATTTACAAGCTTTAATCAAGTCCAGCAACCTTAATATACAAATAAGGAAACTGAAATAAGAACATAAGTAATTTCCCATTTTGCTATTCCAGTAGTTTTGTAGGATAGCTAAGATTAAAACTGATTTTGAACTTTTATAGCCACATCTTGTTGCCTTAAAGAACTTTTTTTTTAATAGTGAGAGACAGGAGGTTTGAAATTAGAATATTTTTAATTTAAAAATCTCATTGCCTTATTTTCATCACATTGCAGCTGTTGATTTTCATATACATAATGTGTTGTTATTTTTTCTCCTGCCTCTCTGTAAGCCAAAAATACATCCTAAGAACAGACAGTTAGTCCTTTATCTTTTTAAAAAATGTACACATTATTGAAAAAGTTATAATTTGTGACAAACGGATTTGAAGAATTCATAGAGTTGGTCCTGATAATAGCTTCTCTTACCTGGTTCATCTCAGGTTTTCTTCTCTACTGACAAAAAATTCTGGTTTGTCCACCTGCACATGAGAATATCCTCATTGGTTATTCTGATGCCAAAAAGTCTATAATCTAACTTCATGTTACATTTTATCACCAATCAGCACTGGAATTCCTTGTCAAGGATTTGGTTTGTTTTTTGGCACTTGAGCTCTGGTCCCTATTCTCTACACATGTCCTTCTCCAGCTATTCTACTACTCAAATATAATACAGTTTCAGCCTGTAAAAGCTGTTAAGAAAAGGAAGAAGCTACTTGCTTCCTTTACCATCAATCATCCATCTACTCAATAAATAATTGCTCAGTATCTGTTATATGGCAGGTGCTCTTCTGAGTGTTAGGATTCAGCAGTTGAGCAAGTAAAAACTCTAGACATCAGCAAGTTCACATTCTCATATAAATATTGGCTAGTAAATAC